ATTTTTTTATTTGTATGGAACAAAATGTATTAATTGTTAAATAATAATATCCACAATTTACATTTATGTTTTTATTTATTTTGTCACTATTGTATGTAGAGAATAAAAAATAATATTCACTGTTATCAAAATGAAAGTGACAAGTAGTTTGATAAGCCTTATATTTATATAGTTGTGTACTGAATATACTAATCCTTGCCTAATTTGAAATGGAAGATTTTTTTCTCTAAAATTATACTTTTCAGAATACTAGTGCTATGTGACCACTTAGTTGTCAAAGCTTTCTTTGAACTTTAATAGAAAGATTTTGAATGACCAGGATATAGATTTCATTGTATGGGCTTTCAACTATTTAATTTTGGCCTAAATGTTCGCAGTTGGACTAGTATATAATTATTTTTACAAAATGCATAATCATGATTGCCAAATTTTCCATGACTAACTATACCCTGCCAGATGTGTTTTAGGTTCTGCTGAGTCACTTTTCTTTTCCCTAGAACTTTGTGTTCCCACTGTTTTTGTTTTTGTTTTAATATATTTTTATTGATTTCAGAAAGGAAAGGAGAGGGAGAGATAGAAACATCAATGATGAGAGAGAATCATTGATCAGCTGGCTCCTGCACGCCCCCTACTGGGGATCGAGACAGCAACCAGGCCATGTGCCCTGACAGGGAATGGAACTGTGACCTCCTAGTTCAGGGGTAGGCAACCCCTGGCACGCGTGCCAAACATGGCAAGCCAGTAACTTTTGCTGGCACGTGAAACCCTCTCTTATAATCTTCCATTTACAGTTTTTTCTTAATATCGACTTTTTTATTTTTCAGATAAATTCAGTGTAGGTGCATCTTAGATAAATAAATAATTTTACATAACAAGTTATCTTAAAGACCATAGACATGGATTGATGAGAGAGGGGAAGAGCAATTTCTATGCCTCTGCCTTAACTCTCCCTGCCTTCCTAGATTCGACCAGTGTTTTGGTTTCATCCACATACGCTTATGAATCTTTGTTCTCAGTGATGAATTTTGTTAAGTCTCATAATAGGAGTAGCCTGACGGATGAAAGTAGTAGCTCGTGCATATCTCTGAAGGTCACAAAATATAAACCTGATGTAAAATCTCTGTCATCAGTGATGCAGCAGCAAAAGTCCCACTGATAATATCAAACGGAGTCATAAAGTTTTCTGTCGGACTATCAGTGTACATGTATATATTAAAAAATAAATGTATTTTTCATCATCATATACTGTGTTTTTGTCGCTCGAATGAATTTTATTATTTCTTCACGGTTCTTCACATACGTACACCTTAAGAGGTATCAAGTAGGCGTAACATGTTCTCAAAAAATTAGGGTTGGCACGCAGAAGAATTTTGAGTCAGAGATTTTGCTGGTTTTGGCATGCACTCACAAAAAGGTTGCCCACCCTGTCCTAGTTCATGGATCCATGTTCAACCACTAAGCCACACCATCTGGGCTGTGTTCCCACTCTTAATTCCCTCTGGTCTTTTCTCATATTTTTCCTTTTACCTGAATTTGGGGAAAAATGGTTTCATTGCTCTTTTTGCCATTTTATATGCATGTAATAGTTTTACTAGTATATGAATTACTCTCAATTTCACCTGCTATCACCCTTTCCTGGGGAGATATACATTTTGTGCAATTCATTCTGAAAAGTCACCAAACCTTGCTATGCAAAGAGAGCTATCAACAGCTTCATCATGTGGCTGAAAGTTCTTCTGACTCATGCTAGAACCCAGTCTTTAAGAAAATGCTAACAGTTCCAAACTTCCGCATTTGTTTTCTGCTCCTCGGCTACCTCTCCTGCTGATTAGATTTTCCCGCATAGCAAGGATCAGTAATCCCTAGACAGACAGCTGAAGTTTGCTGTCAAGTGATACCTTGAAATCCACAATGGATTTATATTTTCTTACCAATTTGAGCATTTTGGAACACTCAGCCTTGAGACAGAAAATTTTTCAAAGACAAATTTCATCTCTTGAATCTCAATGAAAATATTTGGCTGCATGCATGGTTCCAAAAGCAGTCATTGATTCAAAATGTGTTAAGTCTACCATGTGGCCCGACCGGCATGGCTCAGTGGTTGAACATCGACCTATGAACCAGGAGGTCGAGGTTCGATTCCGGGTCAGGGCACATGCCTGGGCTGTGGGCTCAATCCCCAGTGTGGGGCGTGCAGAAGGTAGCCCATCAATGATTCTCTCTCATCATTGATGTTTCTATCTCTCTCTCCCTCTTCCTTCCTCTCTGAAATCAATAAATATATATATATTTTTTAAATCTACCATGTGCTGGTAATGGGGCAAAGGATCGAGAAATTTAAAGGAAAAAAAAAACCTCCTTATTCTCCTAAGGAGCTGTAGTGGGGAAGACAGACAACAAACAGTGGAAAGCGAGTGAAGCCTGTAATAGTCAAGGGGGAGAAATTGGTGGTGAGTACTATGAAAGTACAGAGGAAGGGCTGCAACATCACCCCAGTCATCTTCTGACTCCTTATCAACCACATTTCATCACTGGTTATTCATAGACAATGCAACCTCTTCTCCATGTCTCCATGCACGTATATTTCAAGGAATAACCATCAGGATATTTCTGCTGAAGAACAGTGAGTACCCCAAACTGCAAGTTTGTTATTTGCCAACTGAAGAGCCTATAGATGTACCAATTAATCCAATAAACCTGGGCTTATAGCCCAATCGTACTTCATGCAGTGGGAGTAGAAGAAAGCGTGGCAATGGAAAGAAATCTCCTGGGGCCAGAAGATGAGGCAAGCTGGTTCCCTCAGGCCAGGTGGCCGCAGGATTCTCATCTTCAAAGGATGTCTATGAGGTCCCCTCCTGCCCTCTGACATTCTAATATCTAATCACAAAGGGCTTGGTCAGGCGGCCTGATTGTCACTAAAGTTTAGGAATTTTTCAAACTTCTCAGAGTTTCCAAGATGTATCATATTGGAAGGAACATTGGTAACTGCAAAGCTTGACTTCAGTGAAGGGGGTTTTAAAAATTCTGTAAGGCTAATGAAATTCTTTAACAATAAATTTGTTCCTGTGCAATTTTTAAAAATGTACTTTCAATGGTGCTGAGCATCTAGCCATAGTCTGATCAACCAAGAAAAAATTTTGCTATGAGATGTTGTTTATCATAGCCAATTTTCTCCCTCTTCTTCTTAAAAACAGTAATAATTTTTAGCATTATTAAAATATTGAAGAATTTTATTTTATATTTACCCCAAAAGCTATGCAAACACCCAAGAAATTCCTCTCTTCTCTGTCTGATAATGTTAGTGAGTGTGCAAAATAAATATTCATGTGATCTATCAACCTTTAAGGTACCTTTCGTATCAAAATCTAATGTTAAACATATTTTTCTTATCAAAATGCTGATCTTGACATGGCTTAAAGCCCTTTATGATTTCAGGACAGTTGGTAGCTCCAACTGGAATAGTAGACATAGCAACAATTCCTTGGGTCCCCTAGCATACTTGATTGATGTGCAACATTTTCTCCTAATTACCTTTACTCCAGAGTAAAAAAAAAAAAAATCACATTCCACACGCAGCTAAAGATCTGTTAGAAAATGACTCAGGCCTGTGAAAAGGAGGATTGCATGGCTTAGTTTTGCAAATATAAATGTTGCAGGTTTTAGAGCTGGAAGAGAGCTCAAAGAGGAAACCAGCAAGTGCAACTCACCGCTTCCAGGACGGACGGACTACAAGAGCTAAACCTGGATGTGCTATTTCAGTTCAGGCAAAGGGAGAAACTAAAACTTTTACAAAGTTTCTTTCTTTTTTTTTTTTTTAATGCGGGCAATGCTATGGCTCAGCAGGCTACACGGATATGTGTGTGCAGTATGCACTAAAATGCAAGGCTAATTTCCCCAGGAAAAAAGATGGGGAAGAAGGTGAGAAAGAAAAGACTCCCCTCTCCCCTTACAAGCTCTCCAGCCTGCCTTGGAGGAATAACGAAAGATGGAAAGTACTTTGACAAGCCCGCGTACAATGCCACTCGGTAGAATGAGATGGACAGTCTCTTGCCTAACCATTTTACAGCAGAGCCCAGAAGAGGAAGCCAGAAACTAATTCAGAAAACCCGACACTGAACACCAGCGGCACGAAAATGTGGTTACATAATTTCATTTCGTTTTTGTTTCTCCGCACTTGAGCGGAACTCGGTTCCACAGATGTCTTCCTCAATGTGAGAACAATCCTTTCTGGAACCACAGGGCTGCAGATGTCACCCTGGAACTCTCCCAGGGGCAAAATGCCAGGTCCGGGACTGCTTTTCCGTGGTCACTACCCTGGGTCGTTCAGGGGTTAACTGGCCTTGGGACCTGTGGGCGGCAGACACCTGCATCTGCACCACCTTAAGGGGCCCACGCTAAGGGCCTGGGAGGTAGGAAGGCCAGGTACCCTTGCTTTCTGGGCAGAAGACGAAACCGCAGCTGGAAGCGGGCCCTCCCTGCTCATCACTGGGCTACAGATTCCAGGCCCAGCGCCAACGTGGGCAAAGTGCAGGGGAAAATGCCCTTCGAGGTGGGAGCTGAGCGGGAGCCAGGAGCCTGTACTTGCTATCAAACTTGGTAAATGCTGCCGCTCCCCCAGCCCGGACCACACTCTGTCACCAGGTGGAAGGAAGAAGCCCTGTCCTCCAGCCCGAGAACTCTTTCCAACGCTCTGCTCTTTCTCCCCCCACAGACCTGCTGTCCGCTCGGGCTGGATGGCGGAGGTGCCGGCCCCGATGGCCTGGGCCCAGGGGGCTGAGGGTCAGGGGACCTGGGAGCGGGGTTCGGGAGACCTGGTTCCCCTCGGCACCTGGAGCCTCCGGCGACCGAGGGCCACTCGGAGCTGGGCGGCGCGGTTGAATCACGGGTGAATCACTCCTTTCAGGGTCCTGGAGTTTCCTAGCGGAGGAGGCGGGGCAGGGGTGTGGATCCGTAGGGCCGCCCACCGCGGCTGCCGGCGACGACGGACGGGGGCGGGGAGTCGGCAGGGCGGGCGCCGCGATCGCGGAGGCGCGGGCGTCCGCGCGGCCCTTTATAGCGCGCCCGGCACCCGCTTCTCCAGACTCGGCTCCCCGCGCCCCTTCCCGCTCTTTCCCCAGGGGCGCATTCAGCCCAACCTCTCCAGCCTTCGGGGCGCGACGAATCCTCCCGACCTCGCCAGCAGCTCGTGGACATGGCGTCTCCCACCGGACCCCGGGTGACCTGCCCCGAGGCCGCTGTCTCCAGGACACTCCTCCTCGGCTGGGTCCTTGTCCAGGTGGCCGGAGCCTCAGGTGAGTGGCACCCGCCTCCCTGAATTCCTGGGGCGCTCTGCCCGAGGCGGGGATCAGTCCTGGCTGACAGCGGGCTCGTCCTGCTGCCTGGAGGCGCCCCCAGCGCCTGCCCAACTCAGCCGCGCTCACCCACCCGCGTTTGAACCAACCTGGGCGCGAGTTGGAGGGTAGGCGTTTGGTGCCTGGGACCCCGCCTGCATCTGCTAGAGATGCTTACTGGGAGATGCGTAGTTGTGTCAGGGAAGTTGTGGCTCCAGCTTTAAGTTTAGGGAAAGAGCTTCCCAGTGATCTTGGTACTTGGGTCCGCACCTGCGCGGGTCAGCGTGCAGTGGTTTGGATAGTATCCTTAAGTGTGCACCTAATAGAGAGCGGCCCTCGGTGTGGTCTTGCTCGTCCTAGTTTACATTGAGTTAGAGGCAATCCTGTTGCAGAATGTCGCTTGGATTGAAGCAGTCGTTAAATTGTCCATGCCTCCGTATGCCTGTGCGACTGACCTGCCCAGTCTTAGCAACGCAGACCTTAATAACCAAGCATCCTAACCGGTGTACAAGCATCCTCCGGTGTGACAGGCCCAACATCTGCCTAGGTGTCTACTGACGTTTCAGGATAGAGACATTTTAGATAAAAATGAAAAGGATCAAGATTTGGCTTTTTCATTATATGCAGCCCTAACTGCTCTCACACATGTGGGATTTGCCCTTCTCCATAACTTATGGAAGACCCTTCCTAGCTGGCCTTCCCTGCCAGAGTTCAACCTTGGAGTCCTAGGCTCCCCGAGCTGGGTCAGGGACCCCCCAGGGCCCTGATGGCTCCTGGGCTGTGCGTCCAGGTCAGGTTATCTCAGGGAGTCCCGCGTGAATGATTTCAAACAATAATTTCAAGATCCTTGCCTGTTTCCTTACATTACAAGGAAGAACCTACCATGAGGAAATTCTGGGTTTGGGAAAAATTTGAATATTTTTTCCTCTGGCTAATTCAGTAATGAAGCTTTCATAGTTGGAAAAAAGATTACTGTGAGGTTTATGGTGATGTTTAGGGGGTAAGGTGTTTTATACCTTCAACGTGAAATCATGTGCTGAGAAGTTCATGTAACAATAGCTGTTTCTCTTTTGTTTAAAGGCACTACAGGTGTGGTGGTAGCATATAATATAACTTGGAAATCAACGAATTTCAAGACAATTTTGGAGTGGGAACCCAAACCCATCAATCATGTCTACACTGTTCAGATAAGGTAAGTTAGATACAAAAAGGAAAATACAGCTTTTGATGTTTCTCCTTCCCTGTGCTGTCTTGATGTGTCTACTTTAAATGTCTTTAAAGCTGATTGATGGTTGAGGTTATTGGATAGATGACATGGTAATTTGCCATACTCTGCTAAGCCTGCCACATTTCCAGCCCTTAAACTGATAAAACATTTTAATTGCTTTTGGAGATGATGGAAAAATTCCTAAGTGGAGTAGAAGCTATGGAGAGGTGAACCTTATTGAGCAAACCTTGATGTCACTAATAGATATGATTCTGGATGGATAACTAATCTCACCTAAGCGCACCCGTCATTTTCCGTGCTGTCTAGACTGTAAGCCTGCTCTAACGTGTTAGGGAAGGGAAGAGGTGTGCAGGAGTTTGGATACATACATTGCCCTGAAGCAATGCTGGATGCATTCATCCTCGGACTAGTGATTCAAACTTCAGTTGCATACGTGCTAACAGAGGAGGTCAATTTTGTGACTCACCCCGCTAGAAAGAAATACTCCTCTGCCTGCACGCTCAGCTGTCAGGGCTGCTCTGATCGACAGTTCTCCCTAAGAGCCCATAATTCAGTATACTCAGTCTAAATGTGGACATGTCTTCCTTGATGGTTTTCTCATATTCTTGTAAGTTTCTTGTTTCTGAAAGGTTCTAGGAGACTTGGAAGAGATCTTATTAATTAGAGGAGAGCAGCTGTGAAAATTATTTTAACACATTGTATAAAGGCACAAAAGTATCACTGGCTAAAATTAAGGTGTTTTGCTTTTTGTTTTGTATTGTTTAGCTTGTCAAGCCTTTTTAGAGTATTAGGAATGCAACTCCTACATATGGAGGCAGTCTTTTAGGTAGATGTTCTTGTTTTACAAAATGAACTTCATGATGACTGTTGCCAAACCCACAGAGAAGAGAATGTGTGTGTGTGTGCGTGTGTGTGTGTGTGTGTGTGCACTGAAATACTTGTATAGATAGAGGGAGGGTGAGAAAGGAGTTTCATAACCTGAGGTCATAATTATGATTATGGTCAAAATTGTCAATTTGGATTCCACTAGTCAAGAGCTGAAGTTTACTTTGGTAGATACTTTCTTCTGGAGATTGAAAATAACATTTTAGGAAGAATGCTTACCTCTGAAATATATTCAGTCTTATGTTTAGTGAGCATGTGGGAACATATTATGGTTTCCCTGATTTTTAAACATAAGCCTTTGTTAGCTCTCAGTTCTTGGACTTTCCAGGGCTGATATTCAAGTGAACGCAGCCCCTGTTTGCAAACACCCTAATGCAGAGCTGCTGGTTGGGGGCCTCCGTGGACACGGGGTTCTTGCAGAGCCCATGTGCTAGAGGACCTGCGAGCAGTCCCTCCACCCTGCTGCAGACCTCACTATTCTGTGTTGGTGAAAAGGGCCACAGCAGTCATTTTATAGGAAAGGAAATTATTGCCCTAGGAAGGTGAGGGATTCATTCATGAGTGCCTTGATGGTGAATGCCCAGCTGGGTCTGGAACCAAGGTCTGCCCAGTATTCTACCACCACCACCTTCTCTGGCGGGTCTGCCGCAGCTGATGTGAGCCCCCACAGCTGGGAGGAGGAAGGAGGGTTGGTGCCAAAACACGAGTTTCTCCTTATTCCTCAGGTTTTTCTGTGAGGCTCCATCTCCTCAGTGGGCAGCCTTCCCTCCCAGTTTTCCTTCTCTAAAGGCAGCATCTCCACCTGCTTCTCCTCTGCACCTGCTGCTCCTTTGCACCCACCACTAGCCTGTCCCCAGCCATGGGGCACCATTGCTAGGCCTGCAGCCCCTACTTGTAGCTCCAACTGTATTTTTCCCTTTTGGAAATAGTTTCAGTGACGGTTGCAAAGTGCTATTGGCTCAAGCACCGAAACATCACCTGTAAGATTGATTCCATGGGAACGTTTGAATTCTAAAACGGAACTTCCAAAGCTCCTAGAAAACAACCTGTTCCTACATTGATGAGTCTTGATTCCATTGGAATTTTTTAGTAATTGAGGCAGGACTTTTATTATTTCCAAGTCAGGAGATTTTGCAATAAATACCTAGAGGATCCTCGAAGGCTTTTAAAATGTTAGTGCTGGTAACAGTGTTCAGAGGAGCTTACTACAGAATTGCCCCTTTATTACTTGTTTACGCAGCTTTACTGATTTCACTAGTTTCAATGACATTAAGTACTGTAATTCCTATGTGTGAGCTGGGAGAAACCAAATACTGATCTGTCAGGTGGAATGTAGCCTCGGAGCCCAGCAGTCTCTCTCTGGTTCTCTGAACGACATGTTTGCCATAGGATGAAGAAGAATCATCGTGTTTTCCTTCACTTTTTTCACTCCAGAATTAAAACAGCCTCTCTACTTCTGTCACAGAAAATTAGAGGAATCTAAGAAATCAAAATCTTTCTGTATCAATGTTAGCTTGTGAATTTTAGGACAAGGAGTGTTATTTAGTTCCGATTTTTGAAAAATACCTGTTTACGGCTCATGTGCATGGATGTGGACAATTGAATTCAGTTTGTTTTTCTCCTCATTCAACCTGTAAATGCAGACCATCTAATACTGAGCAAGGCCTGCTGTGTATAAGCCCTACAGCCTTGCTGCTTAACAGCAAACACAAGGGCATGGACCCCTGGTACCATGCAGACTGGGTTCAACATCAAGTGCTTTAGTGAAGATATCAGTGCTGGGAACAGGGAGGGGAGAGATCCGATCTGAGCAAGGAGATCTGGAGATTCCCGGGGAAAGTGGGACTGGAACAAGTCCCTAAATGATGGACGGGGCTGAGGCAGTGGATGATGCTGAAGAGAAGGGAAGAGCTGTCTGGCTGTCAATTGAGAGAGGACAGAAGTGTGTGGATCAAGTCGCAGTGACATTTATCTATGGGTTCTTTGGGTCCTTTAAAGCAATTTTATACTTATAGAAGTTCTTTAAATAATTTCCTCTTCAATGAAGGAAGATATTTTAGCCTCTTAGTCTTTCAGGCTTTGTGAGAGAGATACTATTGTTATTCTGTGATCTTTAATGGGAAGTATTCACATCTTGTAAAAAAAAAAAAGTGAGAGGCATGTAGCAGAATGAGATGAACAGACCCAGTTCTCACCCCATTAGTTACATGACCTTGTACAAATTACTTAGCATATCGAGCTTCAGTATCCTTGCGTGTAAAAAAGATCCAGTACCTTCTTGGAAGGATCATATCAGATGAAGTAATGTGTAAAGGGCCTAGTATAGTACCTGCATATAGTAGATTCAATAAATATTAAAGAACCACACCAATAATTGTCGTGATAGAATGTAATATGTAGAATATATTATATAGATTCCATTATTACTACATTGACTATATTCTACAAAGAATATAGAATGTTTATAATAAATGGAATATAATACAAGATAATAAGTAATAAATAGTTGGGCCTTAATAAAAAATCATGTACATTCTAAGAAAGATATTTAAAATGGTTAAGAGCACAGACCCCAAAAATTGTTGTCTGGCTTAAAGTTAGGTCAGTTGTGTGACTGAGCTGGTCACCTAATCTCATTTTGCTTCAGTTACCTTATTGTGAAGAGAGAGATGATTACAGAGCCACCCCAGGTTACTGTGAGGACTCCAGTGCATCTAAAGTGCGTAGCATGGGAGTGCCTGCTCACGAGTGGTGTGGATGCTATTATTGTCACAGCACCACAGCCAGAAAGCCATCTGTCTCTTTGGATACAAATCCTAATGTTCTGTTTCTCTTCCTTCCTTTAGCCGTAGATTAGGAAATTGGAAAAGCAAATGCTACTCCATCACCGACACAGAGTGTGACGTCACTGATGAGATTGTGAAAGACGTGAAGCAGACGTACTCAGCGCGGGTCCTTTCCACACCGGCAAATGCCACCGGTTACACTGGGGAGCCCCAGTACACAAACTCCCCGGAGTTCATTCCTTACTTAGAGAGTAAGTAGATGAGTTTCATTCTCGTTTTTATAAGCCCCCGAATCGTTTTGTGAGCTCATGACCCTTAGGGGCCTGTAGATAAAACAAGATTTCTTCAGAACCACATCTTTTTTCTCAGGAACCATAAAGTGCCCCAGCCCTCTTCACTCATTCCGATGTGGTAGGAGCTTCCCAGAGCGTGAACTTTGGAGTTGATAACACTGTTATCAAGTAACTTTCTCCCCCAGCCTATCCCCAGACCGTGCCAGTGACAGGCCGGATGGGGCCTGGGGGACTAGGACTTCCACCAGGACTGGGGTTTCAGTGTTTCTCCATGTATATTTTATTTACATACATATACACTCATACACACACACACACACACACACACCATTTCCATCCCATCAGCAGACCAGCAGTCCCAGTTTACAGGTTTTCACAGTCACAACTGCTCAGGGAAAGTCCAGTTTCCCTCTGATCCAGAGTCAGGCTTGCTGACCTCATCTGGCCAAGGCTGAGCCCCGTGCTGTGCCAGGCGCCTGCCTAGCCGCTCCCAGCCTGCCTGCTTCGTGCAGGTTCTGAAAGTGCAGAGTGCTTTCCTCCCCCGCCTTTGCCCCAGTAAGCGGCCCTTAGTATCTCCCAGGGGAATGCACAGGATCCTGGCCAAGTAGGAGATTACATTTTTTGGCCTGACTACAGTATTTTAAATAAACCTGTAACACACTAGGAAGGGTGAAATCTTTTAAGGTCTTTAAATCTTCACAGGTCTTTGAGGAAGACCTAGAATGAAAGGTTAAAGTGAAAGGGTCATGCTATGGGTGCTTTTCTATCTACCCCTCTGACCATCCAGTGAGAGAGGAGAGTTTCTGGAGGCGGGAATGGTGAGAAGGGACAGGGGGACAGGCAGCCAACCTTTCCCCTCTGGTATCTACATGGAGGGTTGAAATAGAAGGTAGCCTTAGCCCAGGTGAATCTGGCTGCCTTTCCTGAGCCCCTGTTTGCCAGAGCCTGTCTTTCGCTTGTGTGTCTGTCACGGCACCCAGCTGGGTGTTAGACACCACATCCATGCCCCCTCTGCTAACTCCGCCCCAGGTCACTGGCTGTCCTCCTTCCATTGATGGCACCCACTTGGTTTTCTGTGACAGTTCTTGAGATTTTTGTAAGCCACTTCAAGTCCCTTTTTGGTACAAGATAAAATATAGTTTGCATATTTATTTTGCATGTGCCTACACATAACTTGCACATAATTTGTGTTAAATTATTGGGATTGATTTTCTTGTTACTCAACCAAAACACATGGGATCATTGCGCCCTCCAGAGTCCCAAGGCTTAACACTGGTTCCTTGAGGTGCCAGGACATCTCCCGGGCTTTCCCACAGCCCCTCATTTATTTTACCTAAAATATGGAATCTTGTGCAACTGTGTTGTTGAATACAGTTGCCTCTAACCACGTGTGGCTATTGAGCCCTAGGAATGTGGCAAATGCTCTAAGGGTAAAAATACACACTAGATTTTGAAAAAATATCTCCAAAAGTTTTAGATGGATTACCTATTTTCACTATAATGGGTTAAATAAACTATATTACTGGAATTCACTTCACCTGCTCCTTTTCACATTTTCTAATGTGATTACAAGGAAATGTAACTGACATCGGTGGCTCCGGTTATATTTCCAATGGGCAGCGCTTCTATAGCAGGTCTCGGGGTTCGGCTTCGTGCCACTTGGCTCGCTCCTGCTAGGGAGCGGGTTCTGTGCAGGTGTTTTATGAGGGATGACCAGGGTATTAACTGTGATAACTAAATGGGATTCTATTTGTAGAGAATTCTTTGGTTCCAACGAAGTTTATTTTCTGTTTTAGCTAATCTCGGACGGCCAACAATTCAGAGTTTTGAACAAATTGGGACAAAACTGAATGTGACGGTACAGGATCCTCGGACCTTAGTCAGAATGAATGGCACATTCCTGAGCCTCCGGGATGTCTTTGGCGAGGACTTAAGTTACACACTTTACTACTGGAAAGCTTCAAGTACAGGAAAGGTGAGGATTTCTTCCACTGGTTTTTATGACTTGCTTTAAATCGTAGGTCCTTGATTTTACAACCCACTTCTGCCCCAATTTAAAAGTAACAGAACGGGTGGTTGAGAGGGCAGTGCGGTGGGGTGAGAGGGGTGCTTGCTGTCCTGGTTCTACCAATGATTTTGAGTGACCTTGTGACTTTGGGGGAGGCCCCCTTGGATACCCAGGTTCCTCAGCCAAGAGGCTCGACCAGATCATCTCTAAAGTTCCTGTCAGGTCTCACATTTCTTTCTCTATTGAGGATCACAGAGACAAAATTTGTTTTCCCTTCAACAATTAATACGTCATCCTTCCTTTCCCTTACTGCAAACATCTCCTACAGGGGCTAAGTTGGATATCTTAGTCTTGGAAAAAGCACCCTCAGCAGTCAGCATGAGGAATATTTAGCCAAGTCACTTCTAATCCTGTATATGTCAGATGTGTCCATGTAGGCGTTTGCTTCCCCAGTGACCTGGTAAAGGAGAAAGAACTCACTTGGAGCCCAGATGAATTAAGAACTCTTTATCTTTTAACAGAAAATGGTCAAGACAAACACTAATGAGTTTTTGATTGATGTGGATAAAGGACAGAACTACTGTTTCAATGTTCAAGCCGTGATTGCATCACGAAAAGCTAACCAGAAGAGTCCCGAAAGCCCCATTGAGTGCAGCAGCCACGAGAAGGGTGTGTTCAAAGGTGAGTGGCTCTGCCCGGCAGGCAGGAGGCACAGGTGCCCTCCAGAGGACCAGCTCCAGCCGCAGGACCAGGGTGTCCTCTGTTCAGAGAGAAAGTGTCTTGGTTTTTCTTGGTTTTGTGTGGTTTTTTGGAAGTTACTCGTAATTTTAGGCCTTTAGAAATGTTTCTATGTTGTTCCCTTATAGCAGCGAGTATTTTCTTGAGCGCCTACCACGTGCTAAGTTCTCTGCTGAGTACTAGGCACATAGTCCATCTTTGGGGTTTAGTGTCAATCACAGATTTCTCTGGGCATGTTTTCATACTTAAATTCTAATCTTCGGGGTTTGAGGGGAGCATCTGGACCACCTGTGAGCACCCACGGTGGGCTGTAAAGTCTAACCCAGGGGTCCTCAAACTACGGCCCGCGGGCCACATGCAAATACAAATATTGTATTTGTTCCCGTTTAGTTTTTTTACTTCAAAATAAGATATGTGTAGTGTGCATAGGAATTTGTTCATAGTTTTTTTTAAACTATAGTCCGGCTCTCCAGCGGTCTAAGGGACAGTGAACTGGCCCCCTGTTTAAAAAGTTTGAGGACCCCTGGTCTAACCCATGAAGGGAAGGGATTCAGTCTGTCACATATACCCATGTACGTGTGTCCATGCGTGTGCACACACGGGGTCCACACACGGTGAGGAGAGGCTTCTAACTGCTGTGGGTGTGTAGACACGTATGTACATGAAGCTGTAAGCCTAGGAGTTTCTCTCCAGGCTTTGTAAAGAAAGTGCTCTGAATACTTCCAGGGATTAAAGTCAAAAGACAGTAATGATGACCTAGCTCCTTGCTAAGAAGAGATTTTAAAATTTAAAAACACTTTAAAATAAATTCTCCTCCATTTATTGACACTGACAGAAGGAAAGGACTCTCCTTCTCTCTGGTCCTGCACCCTCTGGACCATCGTACCCACAGCCCTCACATCCATCTTTCTAAAGCCAACTCGAGTTCCGCTGCCTCTGTCTTCGTGCACATCCCGACCGCTGCTTCCCAGGTCTCTTCTGTATCTGCAGAAATGCGTCCTTTGAGAACCATTGCAATTGCCACCTCCACCCGGGAGCCTTCTTATTGCCCCAGCCAGTTATCATCTCTCTCAGCTGAATTCTGGTAGCCCTCTGTGTGTCTCTTTGCACTGATAGTTCATCTTCTACTGTAATCATTGCCACCAAACTCAGCATTATGCACTGTTTTTAGCCAGTTGTTTCTAACAGCTGTTCTTACTTCCATCTATGTGTTCCTTCTCTAGACTAAGAACATTAACCAGTTTACTTAAGCTTTTGGCCTTTGTCAATTGCCCTACAACATCTAGGGTTTGACAAATTCTTTCCTAACCAAAATGCGTTGTGGTGGAAAGAGTAGAGGAAAGAAATTTCAAATTACGCAAAAGCAGGATGGTGTAATTTGGAGTTAAGCCCTCAGTTCTGTCCACTGATAAATGGGATTCGAGCTCTCTCTCCACATTGACTTGGTAACTTTTATTTTTCAGACATGTTCTTCATCATCGGAGCAGTGGTGTTTGTGGTCATCATCTTCATCATCACCCTGTCCCTGTGTCTGTACAAGTGCAAGAAGGCCAGAGCAAGGAAAAGTGGCAAGGCGAACTCCCCGCTCCGTGTTGCATAAAGCACGTGACATTAGAGCTGCCGACTTCTGCAGTTTATATTGCACTGTGACAAAGAACTTTTAAAAGGATGGAATATATGGAAACAAAAAAATGAATTTTTGGAGCATGGAGACTCTTGGGCCCAAAGAAAGTTCTTTATCTGACTGTTCTCATGAATAGCATTCTGGTTTCGAGACCAGCACTAGTCACTTTGGAATGTAATGAATGGTACAACCAATTCCAAGTTTTTGGGTTTTTTTTAAATATATTTTATTGATTTTCTACAGAGAAGAAGGGAGAGGGATAGAGAGCCAGAAACATCGATGAGAGAGATCGATCAGCTGCCTCCTGCACGCCTCCCAGTGGGGATGTGCCCGCAACCAAGGTACATGCCCTTGACCGGAATCGAACCTGGGACCCCTGAGTCCGCAGGCCGACGCTCTATCCACTGAGCCAAACCGGTCCGGCAATTCCAAGTTTTTTAAATTTATTTTTTAACACTATGGCACCTTTTGCACATATCATGCTTTAGACTGTATTTTCTACACTCAAGACGAAACCAGGTCATCTAAACAAAAACAAATGAACAAATGCCTTAAAAAGTCCTGGGTGGACTTTTGGAATACTTTCAACATGCTGACTTCAAACCATGTGGGAGAGTAAAATGGAAATTGGGTGGACTTTTCTAACATGTGTCTGTCCTTTTAAAATGTGGAGTTTAGGTTCTTTTTAGAGTTCTTTTGGAGGTTCAAAATAGTTGGCAAAACATATGCATGTGTTAAATGCAGAAGACTTCCACTTTGCCTGACCAAGCCTGACAACTTTGGGCATGTGCATTACAGTTTAGCACTTTAACTGACTTAAATGCTATTAATTAAACACTTGACAGCTAGCTATATTTTTATGAAACTATATAAACTACATAAAGTTTATGATTTAAGGTACTTCAAGTTTATATGGTCAACATTGTATATATTTATATAATTTTTTAAAGGTTTTATATGGGATTTTCTATTTATAGAGGTGATATTGTTCTATTTGTATATATTGAGATAATTTATTTAATATAGTTTTATATAAATAAAGGTGACTGGGAATTGTGACTGTTTCATTTATTATATCTTCCGTTTATTGTTTTTTTATTCTTTATTATTTAAAGTATTACATGAGTCTCCTTTTTCCCCCCATTGACCTCTCCCCAGCTACTCCCATTCCCCAGCACATGCCCTCACCCCCCTGTCTGTGTCCATTGGTTATGCTCATATGCATGCATACAAGTCCTTTGGTTGATCTCTTACCCCCTGAGCCCCTACCTTCCCTCAGGCTGGACAGTCTGTTCAATGCTTCTGTGTCTCTGGTTCTATTTTTGTTCGTCCGTTTATGTTGTTCATTATACTCCACCAATGAGGGAGATCATGTGATATTTATCTTTCTCTGACTGGCTTATTTCACTTAGCATAATGCTCTCCAGTTCCATCCATGCTGTTGCAAATGGTAATAATTCCTTCTTTTTTATAGCAGCGTAATATTCTATTGTGTAGATGTACCACAGTTTTTTAATCTACTCATATGCTGATGGACACTTAGGCTGTTTCTAAATCTTAACTATTGTAAGTTGTGCTGCTATGAACATAGGGGTGCATATATTCTTTCTGACTGGTGTTTCTGTTTCCTTGGGATATATTCCTAGAAGTGGGATTACTGGGTCAAACAGAAGTTCCATTTTTAATTTTTTGAGGAAACTCCATACTGTTTTCCACAGTGGCTGCACCAGTCTGCATTCCTACCAGCAATGCATCCTCCCCAGCACGTTTGTCAATTTGTTGATGATAGCCATTCTGACAGGTGTGAGATGGTATCTCGTTGTTGTTTTGATTTGCATCTCCCAGATGATTAGGGACTTTGAGCATGTTTTCATATGTCTCTTGGCCTTCTGTATGTCCTCTTTTGAAAAGTGTCTATTTAGGTCCATTTATTGTTTTTGATTTGGTTTTTGTATTGTCTCAACTTCAGGAACAAATGACCCTAAAATTCTCAATGGATTATGAAAACATTTTTATATTATTTTTAATTTCTTACATCAGTTTGGTGGCTGTGGGTTAAATGCAGCTCTTCTTTTTCTTTTTTTTATCTTCCCCAAGGATATGTTTTTATTGATTTTTAGAGAGAGAAGAAAAGAGAGGGAGAGAGAAAGAGAAAGATCAATCGGTTGCCTCCCATACTCTCCTCAACCGAGGATCAAACCCAAAACCCAAAACCTAGGCATGTGCCCTGACCAGAAATCAAACCTGTTGCCCTTCGATACATGGGACAATGCTCCAACCAACTGAGCCACACTGGCCAGGGCTGCAGCTCTTCATATATATATGCTCTCCAGTTCCATCCATTAGAAACACCAATGATGAGAGAGAATCATTGATCGACTGCCTCCTGCATGCCCTCTACTGAGTATTGAGCCAGAAACCCAGGCATGTGCCCTGACCAGGAATTAAACCAAGACCTCCTGGTTCATAGGTCGATGCTCAACCACTGAGCCACATTGACCGGCTGCAGCTCTTCTTAATGTCTTGTCATTCTAAAACCCAAACTAAAGGGTATCCTGTATTTGGATCAGAGCAGAAAGCTGGTAGAAACAGGCAACCACCTCTTCAAGTTTTAAGCCGCCTCTAAAAACCTGTGCTCCAGACTGGCCCACTGTCACCTCAGCTCCTGTGACACTGGCTCAAGCAAGACACATGACCACACCTGCCAACACTGCCCACAGGCTGCACAAGTTACGCAACAATGGGCAGGGATGATAGTGTTACAGGGAAGGTAGAACTCAGATAATCTACTGTAGACTTAGAGGGAGAGAACTGTTGCCATATGCATTAGTTTGAGTTGCAGATGAAGGTTGGAGAAGAGAAGGGAAAGAAGTTCTTTGGATTATTGTCTTGAAAAACATTGGATAAAAGGACTATGTAAGATAGGGAGAGAGAGAATTAGAGTGGAGTCTCTAGAATTAACTAAAAGCTCTTTGCGGGCAAGACTGGGTCGAGCTCATGTTTACTGCTCCTTGAGGGTGGCCATGCCAATGGGCTCTGAGTCATAGCGGAGTCGGGTTCATCAACGCCCTCGAAAATGTAGAGACAGTGAGTCCTCCATTCAAATACAAATAAAACATAGCAGATCAGTCTTGTTCTCTCAACTCTATTGAAAGAGGATTCTAACCAGAGATGAGGAAGAGGTCCCTGGCACCTACTCGGGCCACAACCACATTTGCCTCCTGCCGGGGAAGGCCGGGCCAGTGGAGTCTAGGAAAAGCATCCAGATGGCACACCTACCTGGACGTGGTCCCACACGGAGACACTGAGCAAGCATTGAAATGAGCAAAGACCCGGTTCACTGTCCAGCCATTCATAAATTTTAACTCCGTTTTGTTCCTTTGCTCTAAGGAACTAAATAAGAATTGGCTACAAAACTCTAAACATGATATGTTTGATATCATATGTTCTAAGGAAGAATGGGCAAAACAAACCTTTCTTTGAGGTTCCCTAAAAATGGTAGCCCAAAAGAAAAAAAAAAAAAAAGGTAGACTTTTTGGAGAAATTAAGGGAAACAGGCCGGTGGTTGTTCAATCGAGCTGGTTTTGTTGGTTGGTTTGCCATCATCGGTTTGTGTTAATGCTGGAGAGGATGAATCTTACACCCTTGGGGGGCTGGGGAGGGGCGTGTGTTGTGCCAGAAAAAGAGGGGGTACATTTGAGCAGAATCCATAGCAGAGAGGTTGAATGGGACGTCCTGAAAGAAGTGTGCTTTGGCCATTATCTTGAATTCCTGCTCACGTGGGGCAAAGAGCTTAGCCCTTCCCCGGGGTAGAACAAGCTCCCAGAGCCGGCGTCTGACGTGGCTTTTCCATCAGACTGCGCTTTCCCTGCCAGGAATCAGTACAGCGTTATGCAATTCCGAGGCCTCATAATCTAAGGAATTTTAATGGTCCCGCTAAAGAAAGTTCTGGCAGAGTGAAAACAGGTCTAGGTATAATGAGAGGTGTCTGGCTGTTCATAGGGAAGGAATCCGAATGAGGCCGCACAGCCATGGACAGGAAGCGTCAATGCTGCAAATGTTACCTGTCTCAGGTTGCAACACCTCTGCTTATGGCTGAGAGGAAGCAGGGCCTGCTGAAATCAGTTGCTAGCTGGTACCCAGAAACCACCGCCACCCTGTGGGCCAAATCCTGCTGCATTACTTACCCCAGCCCTTGAAGGATCCCATAGATCTAATTGTTACCAAACTAAACTTTCATGTTTTGAACAGAGATTTTTTTTTTACCATCTTAAATTACTGACCAATTTTGACTTACATATAAGAAACAAATACTTGTGGAATCCAAAGACATTTTACCTTAGTTATCACTGATGGCCTACAATCTAAGTACCTGTCTTCAATAAACAAAAGAACAATGATCTCTATCCATCTAATAGTAAATAAACTCATTCCCAAATGCAATTTTTACTCTTCTTAGTTTATGCGCATTTAACATGTGTTATTTTTCTCCAGAGGTTGCTTGAGGAGGTTTATTACTGTTACAACATGACCCTCATTCAGATGTATACAGTGGAGATTATTTTTTCCCATAGCCCATGCTTTCCAGCCGGGTGTCTAGATGACTCTGTCTTTGTCATTCAGCACATTCCTTTCTCAAGGCTGTGGAAATTGGTTTAGGGGTTGGCACATGACCTAACTGAGTCTAGGAAGCGTGAATCTCAGGGCTTTTTCTGGGAATATTGGAATAGTCTCTTTCTTGATGAACATAATGAGAAAGCATAGCCCCAAGAGCTGCTGGCAGTTATCTTGAGACCATAAAGAGAGCAGCCTTAACTAGAGCTGGCGCATTGGAGAGCAATGCAGAGTGATGGAAAGAAACTAAGCCACCAATCTGCTGGATCAAGCCTTGCCTGAGGTTATCACTATCCATGGACTTTTCACAGGTTGTAAAAGCCAATAATTGTTCTCAAGCTTGATTCAGGTCTTCTTGGCTTTTCTGACTTGCAATCCAAAGCACCCTAACTGATGCTGTGTAAGCACTGGCCATGGACTATTCACATAGAGGAAGAAGGTGCCTATAATGTCAGCTTATACTATAAAGAGCTTATATTGTAAAGTAACATTCCATTCTCAACGACTCTTTACATGGAAATTATCCCCTTTCCAGCATCGTCAGGTTCTTCTTTTCTACTGGATCATTCCTACAGAACACAACATACCCTGTTATTTTCCCTCTTTAAAAAGAATCTTCCTTTGACCTATAAAAGTCCTTGTCTGGATTTTCTTCTCACCCCCTACTCCTTGGAGACCATTCTCTTCTTTCTGACTCTAAATGTTGGATTACTTTAGTGCACCAACCTAGTCTCTATCAATTATCACTCTCCAAGTAATATATCCCAGCCCAGCTCTGTCGCCGAGCTCTGTCATGCTACATCTCCACACCATCGCTATGCTGATGGCTCCCAAATGTCTCAGCCCCCAGCCTCTTCCCTACACTCCAGGTCCAATTGTTTACACACTTTATGAGAATGTCTAACAGGCATCTCAGTTTTATTTTATTTATTTTTAATATATATTTTTTTATTGATTTCAGAGAGAAAGGGAGAGGGGGAGAGAGAGAAACATCAATGATGAGAGAGAATCATTGATTGACTGCTTCTTGCACGCCTCCTACTGAAGATTGAGCCTGAGCCTGTGCCTTGACTGGGAATCGAACTGTGACCTCCTGGTTCATAGGTCAATGCTCAACCACTGAGTCACATGACTGGGCAAGCATCTCAATTTTAAAATGGCTAAAGAGATTATAGTTCTCCCAACCCCAAAACCTGTTTCTCCCCTAATGTTTCCATTTCCAGTCCCTAGGCCTGGCCGGCGGTTGAAGTGCAAACATCTGGCATGGAAGGGCAGGTCCCAGCTGATATCTGGGCCCTGGGCAGCACCTCAGCCCCCAAGCCCCCACATGCCTCCCTCCGCCTGAGTCATGGTGCCCGAGTCCCCATGTCCCCATCACCCCTGCCCCCAGGTAGCCGGCGAGAGGTCACAGCCCCCCACCCAGGTGCCATGGGAGGTTGGTCACC